TCCCTAAATATCTTTTTAAAATAGTGGTTTCATACGAGGATATGAAGACCAAGATGGTGCGGCCTATTGGATGAATACATCTCATACTACTGATTTACTGGTAGTCACGAAAACAATACTTGATTCGAAAAATAAACATTTTTAATTTGCAGTCTCATCCACTGACAACGTAGAAAACTTCATTTTTAAAATGCTCTAAATCACTTGTAAGAGAGAGAGACAAAGAGAAAGACATCACTCAGTCTGCTATAACCCTCAAAATATAGTGGACAAAATTCCCTTTTTTCTCCCGCTTTGTTATTTTACCATCTTTTGTGTACTCATCGACGTATAGAGACGTCACTGCAACCCAAAGCAAAATTTTCAGTAATTTAATGTTACCTTTCTGGATGGACATAATTGTCGTAAATTATCCGATGGAAAAGCAACAATCAACAGCTTTTTGTGACAAGAATGTGTCATAAAGTGAAAAACCGCTTTGCAGTTTTGATTAGAGTTACACGAAATATAGCTACAGTGAGCCACTTTTGGTTTGACATCATGACAACAAGAAAGAGATGAGCAAGCGACAGGCCCTTCAATGCAGTCATGCGTTCGGCGATCGGGGACTGAATGACGCGAATGATTGTCACCTCGACTGGAGCATTCAAGAAGATAAGCTGAAGAACCAATGCCCATTCGGGTCAGGATGGAAAGTCTTTTAGAAGCAGTCATCGCATAGTTACTTAGACGATGCTCATACAGCAGACAAATCTGACCAACAAGGCATCACTCTAATTTGTTGTGGCATCAAATGCATCTGCAATAATTACAGACTCAGTCTGTTCTCTTTGGTTTAGTTGGGTTCGAGAGCTCAAAAGGCGGCTCTATTGGCAGAGGTTGTTTTGTATAAAGTTACGTCTCTGTTTTGTCGTCAGGCTGATGGCGTAGTTGAGTTGGGTGGGCGGTGCAATTCTGCTCGGCTGTCAGTCTTCAAGATCAGCTTTCATGCGGCTGCTATGCAGGAGGAGGACAACACGAGCATCGCTAGACGACCTGCGACGGAATGAGGCATCATCTCAACAAATCGGTCAATCGACCTACCAATCCTTGCGCATGGACACATCTTCGATGGTCGGCAAGGAAAGTTCTACCGCGACAGTCTCAGAATCGAGAGGCATTAGTGGCATGGATACAGTTAATCGCTCGGACGACGCTGATCTGTAGAAGAGACATTTGCGTGTAGAAAGTCTTTCAGGAAATGGAGAGAAGCTCCGTTTCGAAGAGTCCCTCAGCACATTGGCATACTGGCGTGGCGGTGCACCGATGACCCATTCACACAAGTCGACAATCACAGTTCTACAGCCTCCGGTGGCACCAACTTAAGCAACCCTTCCACTCGTCTCTTTAGACCAAATGGAAGCTACTCCAAAATCAATCTATTGAGGCATTCGAAGGTATGAAGACCAAGATGGTGTGGTCTTTTGTGTGGTCACACTATCCCTTTGTTCCATACAAGTTGTTTGACTTTGTTTTTGCAACTTGGTCATGTTGGTAGGAGC